GGGGCGTGCAGGAGGCAGCTGATCAACGATTCTCTTTCATCATGGATGCTTCTATCTTCCTCTTCCTTCCTCTCTGAAATCAATATATATATATATTTTAAAGGGCACATATTTCAGTTGCAGGCTCTATCACCGGGCCCTGACAGGGGCCCGTGCAGGAGGCAACACAATTGATGTCTCTCTCTCTCTCTCTCATTGATGTTTCTCTCGCTCTCTCCCTCTCTCTCCCACTCTCTCTAAAAATGAATGGAAAGTCCTAACTGGTATGGCTCAATGGATAGAGCATCGGCCTGCCGACTGAAGGGTCCCAGGTTCGATTCCGGTCAAGGGCATGTACCTTAGTTGCAGGCACATCCCCAGTTGGGGGTGGGGGGGTGTGTGCAGGAGGCAGCTGATCAATGATTCTCTCTCATCGACATTTCTAACTCTCTCTCCCTCTCCCTTCCTCTCTGTAAAAAAGCAATTTAGCTGGGACCGGTTTGGCTCAGTGGATAGAGCGTCGGCCTGCCGACTGAAGGGTCCCAGGTTCGATTCCCGTCAAGGGCATGTGCCTTGGTTGTGGGCACATCCCCAGTAGGAGGCGTGCAGGAGGCAGCTGATCGATGATTCTCTCTCATCGACGTTTCTAACTCTCTATCCCTCTCTCTTCCTCTCTGTGAAAAATCAATAAAATATACATATATGTAAAAAAAAAAAAAAAAAAGCAATTTAAAAAACTAGTCTATCTTAAAAAAAAAAAAAAATCAATAGAAAAATGTCCTCAGGGGAAGATTCACGAAAGGAAAAAAGATAAATGAGCCAAGGAGAGAGGGGCCTGTCTTCCCAGGGGTCATGGCGGGGTCATGGCGGGGTCATGGCGGGGTCATGGCGGGGTCATGGCGGGGTCATGGAGGCGTCCACGCCCCAGGCCAGCCAGATGTGGAGCCGGATGTGGGGGCCGGCAGGCCCCGCCCGCTCATCTTCCTTGGAAGGGGAGAGTTTATAGTTCCTGGAGTCGGAATGTCAGTTGGAGTTAATCTGTATAAACAGAATCGGTGCCTCCAGCTGGGGTTGGAGGGGGGCGGGGAGGGCGCGTCCCTGGGGAAAAGCTCGCAGCAGGGGGAGGCGGGGCGGTTCAGCTAAAGCTCTGACTTGGGCCCGGCCCAGAGCCCCGCTGGGCCTGCCTCTGCCTCCCCCAGGCCGCCCGCTGGCGCCCGGCCTGGCCTCCTTCCTTCCTTTGATCCTTTTCAAAACAATCTCCTTAAGGTTTTATTTAAGCTCATTTTTAGAGAGAGAGAGAGGAAGAGAGAGAGAAACATCCATGATGAGCGAGAACCACAGATCGGCTGCCTCCCGCACGCCCCACGTTGGGGGTCCAGCCCACAACCCTCTCTATTGTTTAAAAAAATATATATTTTATTGATTTTTCTATAGAGAGGGAGGGAGAGGGAAAGAGAGAAACATGGATGAGAGAGACACATCGACCAGCTGCCTCCTGCACACCCCCCACTGGGGATGTGCCCGCAACCAAGGTCCATGCCCTTGACCGGAATCGAACCCGGGACCCTTCAGTCTGCAGGCCGACGTTCTATCCACTGAGCCACACCGGTTTCGGCTCTATTTTTTTTTTTTAATCTAATAATTTTATTTTTATTTATTTATTTTTAATATATTTTATTGATTTTGTACAGAGAGGAAGGGAGAGGGAGAGAGTTAGAATCATCGATGAGAGAGAGTCATCGACCAGCTGCGTCTTGCACACCCGCTACTGGGGATGTGCCCGTAACCAAGGTCCATGCCCATGACCGGAATCGAACCCGGAACCCTTCAGTCTGCAGGCCGACGCTCTATCCATTGAGCCAAACCGGTTTCGGCTCTATTTTTTTTTTTTTTTAATATATTTTGTATTGATCTAAGAGAGAAGAAGGGAGAGGGAGAGAGATAGAAACTCCAGGATGAGACAGTATCACGGATCGGCTGCCTCCTGCACGCCCCCCACTGGGGATGGAGCCCGCAGCCCGGGCCTGTGCCCTGAGTGGGAATCGAACCCGGGACCCTTCAGTCCGTAGGCCGACCCTCTATCCACTGAGCCACACCGGCCAGGATTCCACCGTGTCACAGTCTCTCTTTGGGAATCACTAGGGGCTGTTTCTCTGGCCGCTTTAAATTTTCTTGTTTGTTTGTTTGTTTGTTTGTTCGGAAACAGAGACCGAGAGACGGGGTTTCCCCCCCATTCCACAGCCGGGAGAAGGGAGTAGCGGGCTCCGTCTGCGGCTCCCAGCTCCCAGCCCAGGTCCCTTCTCCATGAGGAGCCTGCTCCCGCCCCCCGGCCCCCGGCCCCCGCTCCCTGACGCCCTGGAATAGAACTCCCAGGCCCGGCATCCAGCGAGCCAGCAAGAGCCAGCGTTCATGCTGAAACCGGTGTGGCTCAGTGGATAGAGCGTCGGCCTGCAGACTGAAAGGTCCCGGGTTCGATTCCGGTCAAGGGCATGGACCTTGGTTGCGGGCACATCCCCGGGGT